AAGTGTAGACCTTAATGATTTACTGTATGTAAGAAATAAGGGAAAAGAAGAAATTAAATATTATGCCCAAGTTTTGGGCTTGGGAAACTGCATGAATGGTATTTTCATTTACTTCCCTTCCACTCCCCTGTCCCCCAAAAATAGAGGAGGAGTAAGTGTGGAAGAGAGAGAAAAAGTTAGCTTCAGATGACTCAGTGACTTTAGAATGTGAACATCCAGAAGGCTGGGCGCGGTGGCTCAGGCATGGAATCCCAGCACTTTGAGAGTCCAAGGCGAGCGGATCACCTGAGGTTGGGAGTTCAAGACCAGCCTGATCAACATGGAGAAACCCCGTCTCTACTAAAAACACAAAATTAGCTGGGTGTAGTGGCATATGCCTGTAATCCCAGCTACTTGGGAGGCTGAGTCAGGAGAATCACAAGAGCCCAGGAGACAGAGTTTGCAGTGAGCCATATCACGCCATTGCACTCCAGCCTGGGCAACAAGAGCAAAACTCTGTCTCAAAAAAAAAAAAAAAAAAAAAAGTGAACATCCGATAAACGGTTTGATAAATGTGTTCAAAAATCAGGCGAAATATAAGGACTAGAAATCATAAAGATTTGGAAATCTTTAGCATAGAGATGACAAACAGCACCATGGTAGTAGATGAAATCATCAAAAGAGGGTTCACTAAGAAAATAAACTCAGTGTACTTAAATGCATCAATACTTAACAGCCAGGAAGATAAAGAGGGGCCTATAAAAGAAAGTTTTCAGAAGGAACAAGAATGAAAAAAAGAAAACAGAAGCCTGAGGTGTCATGGAAACCTAGAGACTACAACATTTCAAGGTGGTGGTTAATGTTGTTAAAAGCTGGCCATAGGTTAAATAAGACAGACTAAAAAGAATTAGACAGGCAAAATCTTTACCACCAGACCAGCAAGCATTCATCTTTCGATCAAGTAAAATCAAGTTGCATTAAGAACTATGAAGAAAAGAAAAACAGGGACAAAAGTCAATTCAACAAAGTCTACTTCATGGGAAAGTTTGGATTTTTCTTTAAATCCTATTTCTCCTCTTAACTTTCTACCACTGGGTTTTAGCCTATTCATATGTAATTATTTTCCCAATTTGGGTTAATAAAGAAACCATGCAATAAATATCCTTCATTCTTGGTATTCAGTGCTCAAACTTTCTTACTAATTCTAGAGGCTCGTTTTTTGCAACAAGAAAACTATTCCTGACAATTAGGCCAAGACTACATAAAAGAAAACCACTGAAAGGATACGGTTGCTCTCTCTGTTTAAATGACTAACACTATTAGAGACTATGTCAATAATTTGTTCTGTAGTAAGAATACATGCATTTTTTGTTTTAGATCAGATCTACAATTAAAGAGGCAATGTAGCTGAATAAATTAATCTCAAGTCTAGAAGCCAAAAGCTTTAAGCTGTAAATTCACCTCTGCCAATTAATTTCTGAGCAACTCTGACAATCTTCTATAATTCCTTCAGAAAACAGCAATTAAATAATTGCTATATACATCAGAATAATTGCTCCATATCAGAATGAGATAATTATCAAAAATAAAATGATTGAAAGTAAATATAGAAATGGAGGCAAGAAAACACTGATAAATATGACATCAAAAATAAGTCTTCGTGCCCAGGTGCAGTGGCTCGTGCCTGTAATCTCAGCATTTTGGGAGGCTGAGGCAGGCCAATCACTTTGAGACCAGCCTGGCGAAATGGCAGAAAGCCTGTCTCTACCAAAAATACAAAAATTAGCAGGGTGTGGTGTGGTGGCACATGCCTGTAGTCTCAGCTGCTTGGGAGGCTGAGGCACAAGAATCATTTGAACCTGGAAGGCAGAGGCTGCAGTGAGCCAAGACTGCACCACTGCACTCCAGCCTGAGCAACAGAGCTAGACTGTTTGAAACATAAAAAAAAAAAAAAAAAAAAAGGAAAAGCAGCCTTAGAATCCTCATGACAATTGCAACTGCTTATTAATAACATCTGATTTGTGTTTTTAGGAACTGTACAGATAGTAGGACTCATACCCAAATGGGTAAAATTTCCTGAGAGTCTTTCAGGGTTGGCATTGTAAAAGTGATGAGATCAGGTATAAGGCAAATACAGACAGATCTTTCCCTTCTCCACTTCCATTCTAGCCTATGACACTTTCAGTCTGGCCATTTCGCCTTTTTCTTCTCATAGGAAGTGGACACTTAGTGGGAAAGTGCAAAGAGATTTAGCTTAGATGTTACCTAGTAACTACAACAAAGTCATTAATAATATGGAGCTGAAGTCAGAGATGAACTGTTTCAGTTAAGTGAAAACCACTTAAAATAATGAAAGAGGACTGCAGTTAGTTTGTAAGTTGCTAATTCCTGCTGTGGGCCAATGCTCATTAAATACTAGGCATTACATCAATGCCAACACATTTAATCCTCAAATGAGGTGTCCCATTTTAAAGTCAAAGAAACAAAGGATAGGAGAGGTGAGTCACCAAGCTCATAGGTAGAATTTTAATTCTTACGATAATCTTTAAAAACCTCTATATACATACTCTGGACCATCTAATACATGGGTCCTAGATGATAACCTTATAAGCAAGTACTGCCATGCAATTTCAGGGACCTCAGTTTTTGTTTATGTTTACGACTGAGTGAATGTCAAGTGAAGACCATATGACATTGAAGCTTACTCTAAGAATGAAGGTTTCACAGCAGTGATATGAGAACTGAGTCATCACCGGTCATCCAATGGAATGCCAATTCCATAAAAGCCTACTCTGAACAATCAGTGGCATACTCATGCTGCCGGTAAGATGCATTGCATGGGTCCCTTCATTAAAAACACCAATTAGCCATAGTTCACTAATAATAAGTACAGCAGTAAAGACTAAATGAATGTTCCAAGTCTCAGCAATAATTGGACCAGCCACTTATTTAAGGATTTTAAGAATGATGCTGTATTAGTTTCCCATTGCTGCCATACTTCAAACTCAGTGGTTTAGAGCAACACAAATGTATTACCTTACAGTTCTTTATCTTAAAAGCTTGACATGTCTCAGTGGGCTAAAATCAAGGTGTCAGCAGAGCTGTGTTGCCTTCTGAAGGCTCTGGGACAGAATTTCTTTGCATTTCTCAGCTTGTAGAGACTGCCTGCATTCATTGACTCATGCTCCCCATTCTCCATCTTCAAAGGCACCAATGGCCAGTTGAGTCCTTCTCACATTTTATCATTCAGATGTTGTTTCCATGTTCAGGACTTTTTCTCTGACTCTTTTCTTCTACCCTTCTCCTTTACTTTTAAGAACCACTATGTTAATATTGGACCCACCTACATGATCCAGGATAATTTCACTAGTTTAAGGTCAGCTGGTTAGCAATGTTACCCTTTGCCATGCAACTTAATATATTCGCAATTTCCAGGAATTAGGAAATAGATATGGGAGTGCGGGTATTATTCTGCTTACCACACTTACAACGTTCCTCTTGTCATCAAGTAAACAACATAACTCCACAGGGTTATCAAGTTGTTCCCATTAATGCTGACATTCAAAGACTGCTCACTGACAAAGGTCAGCCTAAATATAATGTCTGATTAATGAACTATCAAAGAACATCTCAGAGATATTAATACTGCTTTTTTAATAGTATATATGAACACACTTTTTCTGTACCAATCTTATTTGAATCACAATATAAATTTAGTATTTGACCTCCTCCTCCTGTTTCTACTATTCAACTCACTAACAATGATTTGGTTGTTACAAAACACTACTATTTGTCACATTATACTATTGATACTGCTTTGAATTCCATTGATTACATTGTGTTTTTTTGTATTTAAGTTGTGAATTTCTTTTGGTTTCATAATTGTATTCAAACTACATACATATAAAGTTTAAACATAGGGCTTTGTTTCTAAACACTTAAGTAATGGTATATTAAAAAATAATTAAGTCAAAATCAGGGATCCATAAATTTATTTTTTCTTTAAAAGGAATTTATATAACTCTCAATTTTAAGAAAAACTGGAGTGCTGGAGCATTAACAGCATGGCATTTGAAATCTGGTTTGACCTCAACCACCAGCTCTGTGACTTACTAGCAGTGTGGCCTTGGATAAGTTACTACTACTTGTTAGATAATGCAGTTTCCTCGTCTATAAAGTAAGCCTACCTTAGACACTGATCATGAAGATGATATCAAGTTATATATGTAAAATGCTCCATACATTCAGCAGAAACTTGACAAAAAAAAAAAAAAAAAATGCTTGGTACAGTTCCTGGCCACTATCAGGTGCTCAATAAGTAAGAGCAATACTTATTTTATAAAACTGTATCCAAGCTTAAAGATAAATAAGACAATTTTCAGTAACATAGCATGTTACATTTTCTCAAGAAATACTAAACTGCAACTTCAAATGATTGAAAGAAACACATTATTGCATACTTAATATTTATATTTTCTAGAGTCTAGTCAATTTTAAAATGATTATTTATCTTTCAATTAATTATCTTATTTATCTCCAATTTACTTAACTTTTAAGTTTATAATATATCCCAAGAAGAAAAAAAACACATTTGCCTTTCTAAAAGCTTTATGATTATAGTACTACTTTCAGTTCTACAAGATACTATGTGAAATAATCTTTGACATATACTTTCTATATTTCCAAAGAGAAAATACCCTGGTATGTTAGTGAAAACTGACTAGAAAAAAATAAAAAATAAAAAAGAATCTAGAAATATCAAAGCCCTGAATGACATTTAAAATTGGATAAGAATCAACTTCTAAGGCTTCATTCATCACTTGAAAAGAGTACCAATTTAGAAACAATGCCTGTTCATTCTAACCAAGAGAATGCAAAAAATGATTGATAAAGGTTAAGTGAATTAATACTTGCTGAATATATAAAAAATCATAAAAGATTAACAATAAACAATTATAAAATCCTTAGAAATGTTTTAAGACAGGTGCCTCTTTGATATTATAACATACAAAAATACTTACAGTTTGATAATATGAGGATGACGAAAGAGTTTCAGATTTTGAATTTCTCGTTTTATTTTTCCAACAACATCCAAGCTGCGAATCTTCTGTCTATTTAAGATTTTAACTGCCACTTTATGGCCTGTTAATTGATGTTCTCCAACTAAAGGAAAGAAAAAGGAAAAAAATGTGCTGTCGTATCAACATAATCATTTATTCGTGCTTCCTTCCATTGTGCCCTAAATGTCTTTACTCATGTATACCACCTTTATGTCACTGTACAAAACTAAAGTTCTTTGTACTTCTATTTCTTCTATTAGATTATGCACTCTTTGACGACAAAAACTATATCTTAGTCATCTCTGTATCTTTTGCACCTAACAGAGATGTTCATATTTATGGAATATTTGTGAAAATGATTACTGAATTCTATATTGTAAAATATAATCAACTTGAGAACATCATTTGGACAGAAGAGAACTCACTGTTTCAATAATCTCTTCTCTTCTTCTGCTTAATGCCAGTCATTGTATTATAGAAGAATAAATAGTGTGATAAATCAAAAATTCACAATACAGTAATTACTATTTCAACAGAAAATTCATATTAGCCCTTTTTTGTGCCTTTTTCATAAAGTCCTCTTATTTTCCCTCTGTATGATGAAATCTCTATCTCTTTCAAACTGTTATAGTATGTTTATAAAACTCATGTCATTTACCATTTTTAATCTATTATAAACATTTGCGTTTGTGACAAATCATATGACCTAAGCTATTAGCTCATACTCTTCTTGGACAAGATGACCAGTGCTCATCTGAATCACCCTGGAAGTATAGGTGCAAAGTGCTTTGTACACAGAGATGCTAAATGAATATATGCTATGTTAAATATAGTCTTTCTGCTTTCTCATATAATACATTCATGGCATCCACACTAACAGGAATATCTTTCAATACTGTTCAGATGAAAAATCCCTCAGTCAGGAACAAATTTGTCAGCTACCTCTCCTATTTGCCTCAATTCTATTCTAAACTTTCACCATTCTCCCCAAAACATCTCTCTAACCCTCCTTTCAGTGACAAACACCCTTTTGATTTCTTTAGAGAACCTGAAGTCATTAGGAGTGACTTTTCCTATCTTTTTATGTATTTATTTATTCTGAGATAGGGTATTTTGTCATTCAGGCTTGAATGCAGTGGGTGTGAACATAGCTCACTGCAGCCTCAGCCTCCTGGGCTCAAGTGATCCTTCTGCCTCAGACTCCCCAGTAGCTGGGACTACAAGAATGCATCAGCCTCCCCTGCTAATTTTTCCTTAAATTTTTGTAGAGATGGGGTCTCACTATGTTGCTCAGGCTGATCTTGAATTCCTGAGCTCAAGTGATCTTCCCGCTTTGGCCTCCCAAAGTGCTGGGATTACAGGTTAACCCTAATTTCCTCTATCTTAAAGACTTACTTCTATCCATACCCCTCCTCCTGTTCAAGGCCAGTCTCATCAACTTTCACCTTTAACCCATCTTTTCTACACTCTCCTCATATTCAACTTTTTTTCTTTTCTAATAGCTCTTTCTCTTAAGGCTGCCCAAGTCGTATCTCTTCCAAAACTCTTCCATTGATCCTGTATCCTCCTCTAGTTTCCAACTTGTCTCATCAAAACTTCTCAAAAGAGTAGTTACAGTAGTTACATTTGTTGCCTTCTTTTCCTCCCTTATCACCATCCCTAAATTCACAGCTATCTGGTTTCTACCTCCACTCTAAGGACACCAAAGAGTCACAAAATACCATTATCAAGCCATGGATGCTTTTCAGTTCTCAGATTACTATAATCTCTGTTTCATCAGACACCATACCTCTTTTTGGTGATATTTCTCTCTTCTGTTTCTCCTACTAACTCTCAGATGGTCTCGTTTGTGTCCTCTGCCTGCTCTTTGAAGGTTAGTGTCCCCAGGTTTCAAACCTGGCCCAAGGTATACCCTTACATTATGTCATTCATCTTCCGTAGTTTTAATTATCACCCATATGCCAGTGACCTCTGTCTCTCCTTTAAATTCGTATTTCAAGATTAATATCCCACAAACACCTCAAATTCAACACACTTAAAACTAAATTCAAGGGCTGCACATGGCAGTTCATGCCTGTAATCCCAGAACTTTGGGAGGCTGAGGTGGGCTGTTCCCTTGAGCCCAGGAGTTCCATATCAGCCTGGGCAACATGGCAAAACCCCATCTCTACTCAAAATAAAAAATTATCTGGGTGTGGTGGCACATGCCTGTAGTCCCAGCTACTTGGGAGGGTGAGGCAGGAGGATCCCTTGAATCTGGGAGGCAGAGGTTGCAGTGACCCTAGATGGCGCCATTGCAATACAGCATGGGTGACAGAGTGAGACGCTGTTCCAAAAAAAGATAAACCAAAAACAAAACAAAAAAATTACATTCAGCATTCTCCTCCTTCTTCCTTGCCAAATCTGTGTCTTCTATTTCGCTTCATAGCACATAGCATATATGCTACAAATGAAAGAGTCGGCTGACATAATCTCCTAAATACTTCTTGGAGTCATATTTCAACTCGTTATGACAAAAACATTAATGAAAAAGGTGATCGTTAATGACACTTACTGTTTATTATGTACTAAGCTTTATTCTAAGTGGTAGCTGCCCTGCTCTCTCAACCCTACCACAATTCTATGAAATATTATCATCCAGTGTACAGATGAGAAACCTGAGGCACAGAGAAATCAAATAAGTCATCCGAGGTCACACAGCAAGTGGTGGCACAACATCTGACCTGGGCTGTCTGCTTTCACAGCCAGCATAACCACCACACAGTAATAACCCCAGTCAGAGTACTCCAAACATGTAATGCGATGATTTAGAAAGAACTGAGTTTCTGTCACTGGAGATTATTTTTATCTTAATAACTTTTGCAAACTGTAAATTATCTCAAAAAATTTAATGAATCTTGAAAATTACTTTCTCAGCATATAAAACAAACAAAATGAGACATATCAAGTTCAAGCAATGTAACTTACTAACACTCCGAAATATTTTTCCAGGACTCCAGAAAAACCTTATCGATTTCTAGGAACTTTCTATTAATTAAAATAAGCTAAACAGTTTATTTATGCCTGAGTAGTTTATTACTCATCTTTGGGAATTTTATAATACCCAAACACCTTGCCAGGGTGGTCTAACAAATCCATCTCTCTCCTCAAATCCCCGGTAGCCTCAATGAAATAACGAGAACTGAAATCCCTGCTATATAGAAGATTAAATTCCTCCTTTCCCACTTGACGATTAAGTTACTGACTACTGAGAACATATGTGATCTTTCCTGATCAAAGAAGTAAGACCAAGGACTCTAATAGCCAAGCAGATGGGTGTTTTGTTTTTTTAATGACATGTGGTTAATCTGGAGAACATGCAAACAAAACAGTAAGTGAATTCACTTAGAAAATAATGATAAAGTACTGCTTTGCCTATGATAGTTGAGGAAATAATTGACTCATTTAGCTTTATACATGAAAAAAATTTTCTTTATGAAGCAGTGAAAAAAAATGACATTTTCCCTTGAAACAGTTAAGCATACTGATAAGCTAATCAGGTATCTGAGGTTGAAAAAGCCAAGTGCATTAAGAATCCCCCTTTTTTGCTGAATTATACTAGCCTTTTTTGCCTATTAACACCATAATTGGTACTTAAGCATAATTAAATCCAAACTTAACCACATTCCACCTGAAAGCTGAATGAATATTCCTGAAAATCTTGTAACAAATACAGATATAAGGTCAAGAATTTCCTCTATACACATTTTATAGACATAAACTCTTCTTTGTGTAAATCGAAACAAAAATAAAAAATAAAAGAAAAGGCTTGGATGCCTCAATGTTTTATTCCCATTCATTTATTCAATCTAAAAACATTTGCTAAGCATATGCCAGAAATGTTGATCATAGACACATGAAAAGAGATTTTTTTTAACACACCTCCAAGTTTTAGGTGGGGGAAAAAAACAGTAATAAATGAACTGAAGTAAATCTTGTACAGCGTTACATCTGCCTGAAGATTGTCAGATACACCACATTCATAAAGAATAGATGAAAAATAAAATTCTAAAAACACTAAGAATAAATAATCTTGCCATTATGTATCATCTGTATAAGTAAATATCCTGATCAATACCTACTTTGACAGGAGAAATTAGAAACATTCATCCATTGAACAACTATTTAATGAATGCCTACTCAGGTAAGTAGCTGTACTAATGACATTACACTGCTAGTTGTCTTCCAATATCTTCTGCACCTTTCTTTCTCCCTGACATGAAACTCCCAAATTACAACTGGGTACATGGCTACCCAGCATACAGCCTGCATCTTAGTCTCTCTTGCAACTGTTAATAGATGTGGCCATATGAGTATGTTCCAGTCAATGACATACAAAGCAGAAATGTCCCTGGCAACTTCTTCCTCATCCCTTCCTTCATCCTGAAGCCTGGAATATCAAAGCCACCATTGGTACCTTGAGACCAGACTTCAGAAGGGGAAAGCAACAGGAAAGAGAAAACCATATTTTTGTCACCATCAGGTATGACAACAGTCTACATCACCTGCTCAGACTTTTATAAGACAGCAAAATACTTCTGTTTAAGCCACTCTTATTTTGAAGATTTTTGTCACTCAAAGCTGAATCTAAATAATACACTATTTAGAATATTTAAAATTCAAATGGTTTGGAATCTACTTCAAATTTTCAATTTTGCTGAGTAACCATATTTGAGTTGATGGAAATAAATTGTAATTTATAGTCTACACAATTTTTAGATTAAAAAATTAATCGAGAGAGATCCAAGATGGCTGATCACTAGCAGCTCGGGATTGTAGCTCCCACTGAAAGCGCAGAGAACGAGAGGACGCCACACTTTCAGACCAATTTTTGTTGCTCATGCACCAGGAGATTCCCAGTGGAGGAGCCCCACGTGTGTCTCCAGCGCAACTCTTGAGGCTGGTAAGGCAGTTTTGCCGCTGCCTTGGAGCAGAAAAGCACCATCAATCTTAAAGCCGCTGTTTTGACCGGCACAGTGGGTTGCTTAGATTCTAGTGCCGGGAATCAACAAGTTGGACGTCCATTCAGAAACCCAACTATAAAGACGGTAATTATAAAGACCA